AGAACCAATTTAGGAGCTGTCACAAGGCGACATTCGCCCAGTTGGCATCAATCATAATCAGAGGACAGTCACTAAATGCAACTAAAACGGAATTATTCCGACTGCGTAGCCCAAATGTAACCATTTTGGTGTGATACTCCCTTTCCTCTGGTCTTCCGCATTTCGAAACGATTAAGTGATTTCGTGCACAGTGCATGATAATTGGATTAATATGCGTCGACAGCCAGCAGAACAGAGCGTTGGAGTCGGTTGAACGGGTGGATGAGGATGAGGATGAGGATGTGGCAGCCACCACCAGGGAAAATCGGAGAAGCGAGGGTGGTTTGTGGGTTCTTGGGATTTGGTCCGGGAACTCGTTAAGCGGGCAAATTACAAGAGAATCATCTGTGCAGGGCTGTCAAGTTGGATATTTTCTAGCTATGTTTTAAAATTAACAAGAAAAAGCAGGAAACTCGAACTCTTTTTTGTTTAAGGTCATAAATTTCGGAGTATTTATTTAAGTAAAAATATCTAAACGCTCGTAAGTTACAATTAAATAAAATAGTTACTAATGTTCAGAATATTGTTTGCAACATCCTAATGTAATGTAATATTCTACAATGTAAATTGTTGGTTCTCAAAAAAAAAATAACAGTTTAAATACCAACAAAGCAAAGCTTTCAGTTAATTTTTGAGTAATTAACTCATATTTCGCTACCCGATTTAGCTAATTTTCATGCTATGCAGACAACACTGCCCACAGCCTCCACCCTTTTTAGCTTAAATGCTCTCGTTATCAAAATTACATATATCATAGAGCATTGTGCCGAGGGGTGGAACGAATGGGATAAACAGAGACGATGCTGCCGCCCTTTTTTGGCTACGGATGGTTAACACCCCCTCGCGAGGGGTGCAAGTCAAATCAATTTCAAAGCAAACATATTCTCAATGCCATAATTGGAAAAGTCGGGGATTAAGCGATAAAGTTGTATTCTTAAATTGATAAGCAGAGAGTGGGAATTATAACCAGCACAGTGGTATTTAACCCTTGGCTTTTATTATTTAAAACCAGCCCAAACAATTTGTCAGGCGAATCCGGCTGATTGGTAAATAGGCCCTTGGTTAAACAACTGTTGGCCACTTAGCGTTTCATTACCAAACGCTGCCGCTGCACAAACAAATTTAACCGTTTTGATTTTTTCGGGTTTCAGAAGCCGCTTCCGAAGTGCTTTGTCTTAAAGGCGGTGCGATCAAAAAAATAAAAAAAAAAAACAACAACAACAAAAATGGAAAGAAAATCCAGAAAAGAGTGTTTGACAAGCCAATGGAGCTAAGTGCGATGGTTGCTTTGATCTCCGAGTGGGCTGCCTAATTTATAAAATAAATCATATGTGAATTAGCGGTCAACGGTGGGTAACTCGTTTGCGTCCGACGTCGTTTTCCTTTTGATTAATTTATTTGCTTAACTTCGCTCCACTGCAGCCCATTATGGCCGCGTCGTTGTTCTCGGCGATCGGTAAACGATTTTCACACCTCCTCAACGGGTTTTTCTTCTTTGGCTGGCATTTGGCCAGCTGATTAGTGGATCGCGCTTTTGAACTAACCGCCGCTATTTATTACCTCTCGGGCACTTGTTGTCTAATTGCCAAAGCCACCCGCAATGGCACGTCTCCATTTCGTTGAGAGATGACGATGATGAAGCTGCACTGGCAAAAAAAAGGGTTTCTTTGTTAGAAATTTGACTAAGGATCTGATCTTCTCTCTGTTGAATGTCGTTTTTATTGGCTTTACTTAAATTATTCGGTTTTCTTTTAGATTGCCAATATACATTTAAATGCCTATGGCTTCGTCAATCAGATCAATCTTCTTTAACTGTAAATAAAAATAAACATTCATACATACTCGTTTTATAATAAATAATGTTTTCTAAATATATTATAACTTTATTCTTAAGTTGATTATATGTATATTTTTTATAATAATGTGATAGGCAATATATGCTGTGCAGGTAGAACGATTCTTTATTATGCATCCTAGTAAGACAGACCTCTTACTTTAATTACGTTAATTTAAAACCAGAATTTTTCTCAGTGCCCTCCTAGTAATGTCACGTTCTCCTTCGCTGTGGCATTGGCCAATATGTGGCACTGGGTGAAATCATTGGCATCGTCCGGCGAAAGGAAAGTTTCTCTTCGCGCCTCGATGTTAATTTCGGGCCGCCTTTGATGCCGATCGACGGATCGACATCAGCGAGAGCGCCTGGCTGGGTTTCTTCTCTGTTTTCGATTTTATTATGATTTTGTTATGATCGTGATCATGATCTAATGATTTGTTGTCGTACAGTTTTCAGCCTCGGCAGCGACAGCCAAACAAAAAGGTCCAATCCGCGCTCCGATAATGATCTGGCGCAATAAAATTGAAATGCGTCTGTTAATCGCTCCGAGATACATAATAATTTTGTGCTCCAAGCGGCCGCAAATCCCACAATGGCCACGATAACAAAGTTCTGTCGACTGGCCGCCGCATATCGATCACTTTTTGGATTTTGAATTCCGAGGGGGACTCGGAATACGCAAAAATCACAGCGGCAGATCGAATGCAGAAATAGGTATCCTCCAAGTCGACTTAGAAATACTCTAAAGGGGGGTAATAAAAAATATCATTTAATCAAATAGCATTTAAAATACTGAAGGTATGTAAAGATTGCCCATTTTTATGGTATTTTTAATTAAACATTTAAAGTCTTTAAAAGTTAAACAATTTTCAAAAAGAGTTTGAATGATAATTAGAAATATAAAATCATCTAACCTTCATGATCTGGTGAAAAAGCTTTTTGTGCAATCTAATCTATACATAAGTTAAAGCTGTACCTCATAGCTTATTTTTAACAACTAAGATTAGTGATTACTTTGAATCTAACACCTTTTTATAAAACTATGTCTGCTTCACAATTGATGACGTCTGTGTAGGCTTAAGTAGTTACAGAGATAAGAAAGAATATTTAATAATATATTTCGAAGTTCTCTACAAGAACAAATTTGGCAGACTACTACTAAATATATCAGTGGTAGGACTTTTGATTTTATAATTTTCTTGTCAACTCAATATGAACTAAGACAAAGAATCAGACCCAATTAGTCCATCAATTACGAGTTGCTTGTAGTATCACTTTTCTGATTACGATTGTGGCCGCCATTTGCCACGTGCTTTGCGATCTATATATAGTACATATAGTATCTGCATAGTTCAATGTCTGGGAGTGTGCGAGATAAGGCCGCCCAGTGCAAAGCACCCGCCAGATTGTAGGGCATTGGGCGTAATAAATCTTTGCCTTTTGGCCGCGCGCTCTGGGCCAACAACTCGAATTCAAATGGCCATTGTTTTGGCCAAAGGGCCGACGACAAATTCGGAGCCCAGACTCGGACTTTTTGGCCTGACTCCTGATAAAAATCGGCGGTCGCAAGCTGCGCGATCACTGATCTGATCTGATCGACAATATTTATGGCTCCTCGAGCGGCAGCCAGAAAAATGTCTTGCTCTTAGTTAGAAATTAGAGCAATTAGCTTTGACCCGCGGCTGCTACATAGGAATACAAATTCCGCATAAAAAAAGGGAAACTAATCAATTGGAATAGGAATAGTAGATGACCTTTACCTTACCCTCTTCTGTATTCTCGTTTGGCTACTGTGGGTGTGCCTGTCTCGAGTCTCGGCTTGTAAACAGTTTCACTATCTGATGATTATGTAATTTATAGGGTTCCTGGCTACCTGTACCGATCCGTTGAGAAGATAGTGCCACATAAATAAGTGTGTCTGGCATAAATGTCAAAGGGCATTTAATGAAGTTATTAAACGCTGGGCCCGTAGAACCCGGCGCTACTGTTTCCTAAAGGGGGGCGTTCTCAGTTCGTTTTGGTTCGGCGATCATAATCTCAGGACTGAAACTCAGACGGAGACGGTGACGGAGACTGAGATCCCTGACTCTTGCGAGTGCTTTGCATGGGCACTCTGGCCCAAACTGGTTGGGCAATAAAACGCTTGCTATAACGAGCAACAAAATTTGTAACGATTCAATTTAAGGCTACATACAACATGAGCCGTACGCCGTCGGCAAAAGATGAAATAGTCGGAATAGGTATATCCTAGCCCCCCCCCCCCACAATTCCCCCCGTTTTGTGTGTGTTTTTGGCGCATGTTGAGGATACCGACTTCGACTTGGACTGCGACTCGGAGCGGCGGTTCGGTTCAGTTCAATGAAATTTATGAAGACATGACTGGCAATTGTAGTTCGAGCAAACGTCGGCCAAAAAACCAGCTCCACAGAGCCAGAGTTCGACGATCCTGCGACGCCTACTTGGCCATTGCGATTACAACTCAATTGTGGCGGGCCAGCTCGCAATTGTCAATTGATTTTCCAGCCAATATTTCACAATTAATTAAGCGCAAAATTTGTGAACAAAGTCGGGGTGTGTCGGCGCAGTCCCTCAAAAGGAATGTACCGCAGACAAAGACAAGATGTGAACTGATTTCACTCGTACCTGTACCGCCACAGGTCACTGAGATTTCATTCTGCGGGGTGTGGACAGGTCAAAGGATGACCAGCCACCATTGATAGATGCCCCCGATATCGGCGAGCATCTCTCTTCAACTGTGGGAAAACTGCCGAAACTCCGTGGGACTGTCGTTAAATGCGGACATAAAAGAAATTAGCCGGATAGTTTCGGTTTCGGCACTGATATGATTACAAATTTCGGGTGGTCCCAGTTGGGGTTTCAAAAATTGGAACAATCTTTTAAAATAAAAAGGAAAGTAGTTCAAAATAAATATAGTATTATTTAAAACTCAGGAATTTAATCAATGATTGTAAACATTAAATTGAATTTAATAAAAATAAAATTTGGTAATCTTGTAACAAGAATATTACGATTTTATATACACTTTCCAAGTTAAGTAGCAATATCTTTTTGTGTTATCATCAAACTTATAGATTTCACATTGTTTAAAGTATGGTAAGTAAACACATTTTTCAGGCACAATCTAATTTATTTATTTTTTTTTGCATTTTTATAATAATTGCTATTAATGGTAGTAATTAATAATTAGTACCAGGTTGTATAATAAGACCAATCTTTAGTGGTCTCCTGTGGCAGAGGAGTTCCGCCGAGACACCTGTTCAGGTGTTCATAGGTGCTGGCGGTTTCCTCCACATAATGCCTATCGGCATTATTTTGGCAATTAATCATCTGTGTATCCAAAGTCTGGAGGTGGATCTTGATGTCAGAGGCGGCTTCGGTGGCATCTGCCGACACTTGGTACATGGTCTTCGATTGCTCAGCGCCCTAAAGAATATTTAACAACATTGTTAAATAGTTTCTCACTTTTCCCTAATAAATTTTCTTTCAGTAAGCTTACCACATTGGCGAAGCACTCGAAGGACAAAACGTAGTCCACAATGGATGAACAGTCGAAGAAGGTGCTGCAGCCGCGTTCACCAGTCAACTGGATTTTATAAAGAGTGCTGTTCCAGGACGCGATCACCGCGTCACTACTGACATCAAAGTTCTTCTGGCATTTGGCGTAGTCCACCTCGAGTTGGGCCGATAATCCATTGAGAAGGGGAATGTAGTGGCCAAAACAGAGCTGCGAAGCGTAGGAATCACGAGCGGCCAACGTGTCCGTTTGCTGCTGAAGTTTAAGAAGCCTCGTGTTTGTTGGCAACTTCAGCTTTGAGGGTTTTAACTTTGAGGAAATGCTTAGGGCAGAAATCAGGCCAAAGGCTAGTACCACCACCAGCAGTGAGAATCTGGAAAACATTGCTGAACGTCTTTGTCTTAACTCTTGACTGGATACACTAGATATAAAGCACAACGCTTTTATATCCATTACCCGAGCATCTTATCTTTTTCGGTCTTAATTGTCTCGTGTTTGGGGAAGTGTACCTACTGGAATTCTTAATTGATTTCTGAAAATTGTTAGCCCATTTTACTGCGCACAAGTTAAATTACATTGTTCAGAAATCAAATACAAAGATATCAATAACAGTTAAATGTAATTACTTCCTTCTCATTAATAGAATGTTTCAAATAGGGCTCTTCTTCGAGTTGAAAATATTGAAAAAATAAATTTAATACCTTAAATTTGCAAAAACCTTAGGAACTTTTTTTAATAAGTATTCTAAAACCAACATTTACTATAAAAGTTCTAACAATTTTCCCTATTATGCCAATTTGTGGCAATAATACCAATAATGTGGTTTAATATTTTAATTTTCTTTTTTATATTAATTTATTTTTGTCTTAAAGAAATAAGTATACTGTCTTAATAAATCAATTAATAAAATGAAAAACAAATCTTAAAGAAGATATTGTAAAAGGTTTTTTAATTTTAATTATTACCATAAAACACAAACATTTGGACGAGAACTCAATTGTTATTGGTTATTGTTAAAACTAAATTATTTAATTTATATAAACTCAATCATGATATTATAAGAATTAAACCATCTGTTGCTGCTTCCAAAAAAATATATTAAAAACTAGTAATTGTCTTGCACCAAAAGACAAAATAAATGTAGTGCAACATACAGCTCATTAGATTTTCATTTAGAAAAGTCTGAAAAATCATTGTGTGCTCATGTTTGTACCTATATTACTTTGTTTCTCCGTCAGGGAAAAATATAAAGACAATCAGTCAAGAAAAATGACTCATCCGAATCAGTTTTGATTTAAGTTAAAATAAAAATGTACGGTTCAGACTTGTTTTTAGATACAAAATTAAATTTTTAAATGCCAATAATCAATAATTAGATTGCCTGATTTTTCTTTATTTTGCTCTTGAATACATTTACATTTTCTAAACTAATTAACTGCTGGCGCTGCAGTGGGTGGAAGTGGTGTGGTATAGAACGTGGTATGGTATGGTGTGGTAGTTCGGATGGTTGTGTCGGGGATTCCCTTGAGACAGTTGTTCAACCTCTCATAGGTGTCGGCTGTGTCCTCCACATAGGTGCGCTCGGCATTATTCTCGCAAATTTCTCTACGGGACTCCAGAACACGATATTCCTCCTTGATCTTGACAGCAATCTCCGTGGCATTGGCCGAAATGCCGTAGAAGGTCTTGGAGCTCTCCGCAGATTTATTAGAGGCGCATTCGAGGCGTGAGACCACGATGTCCAGGTCCTGTTTCTCCGGTGTCCAGCAGGTGCAGTATGAATTGGGGCTAGCGCAGCCAATGTCGGCAGCCTTTAAGATATTCTGGCGATCACCTGAGTACTTCGCATTGACCACGGCCGTGGAATTGTCATAGCCCGTTATGCAGGCTTCAAAGTTGGTCTCATAACGCGCCGCAACGTTCTCCAAAAGTGGTCGATAGATCTGGAAGCACCTGTTGGAGATGTCCGAGTGGGTTGCTGCCAGTTCATTGCTCTCCACCTGCAACTCCTGGATGTGGGAGTTTGGTCTAATCGGAATATGTAGCTTGGACGCCAGGGAAACGCCCAGGAAAAGGCAAAACACCAGGATCGGGGAATGTTTCGGGAACATCTTTGGATGAGAACTTGACGGTGATGGATCAACCAACCCATATTTATACGGTTTACACTCTGTGTTTTACTATCTTTTTAATTACCCTTTAATGTAACATAAGTTCAATTACTGATAATAACAAGTTCAATGGTTTCAGTTGGCTTGCAAGAAACCTTATCACTTATTCGTCAATTAGGTATTGTATTTGAGGTAAGTGAAATCAGATATTGTTATACAAGCATATAGAAGATATCTAATATATTTTCAATGAAAACTGCAACTAGATTAACTGATCTTTGGTCAACTGTTTTTTAAAGAACCACAAAAGTTCGTAAGTGCAACCATGCTAAGTTGCCTTGAATTGTAGAGTCCTTCGTTTTACATCTACAGGTCAAAGCTGGTGGTGGGAAACTCCCAGGTAGGGTCATAGGCGCAGGCGATCAGATCATCGTAGCACTGGCCGTGTTTGGTCTTGTAGGTTCGCTGGGCCTCGAGCAGACAAGCCGTTTGAACCTTCTGGATGTCTCCCAACCTCTCCTTCAGGCTAGCTCCGTAATCGTATGCCTTGTCGGAAGCTGAACCAAGGGCCGCAGATCCGGCAGGTCCCTGCAATTGCATGTCGTTAAATATTATTAAAAGAAATGTTTATTTATATATGACAGGTGACAAAAATAATGGTTTCTGAGACTAAAAAAAATGTATAGAGGTAGTGGAAATTGCAAAGTTTTACATTTAATGTTGCCTATTCAGCGTTTTTCTAAAATAAAATATAATATTAGTCTCAAATAATATACAGATGCGGTTAATAAAATAGTAGTAGAAAATTGCAAAAAAAAAACATACCTTTAATTCTTTAAACATATTTTTTTAATGTGCCATAATGCTTACATTTCAATAAATAAACGGAGACTTAAAAATCCTTTGAAATTGTTTAAGTTTTTCAAGGAAACTCTTAACTGTGAATAATTCCTTAAAATTCACTTACCAATATAATGTTGTAAGCTATATTTAAAATACTCACTAATCTCCAATTGGAATAAAAATGTTTTCAGTATGTTATCTGTTTGCGTAATTTAAAATTAAAAAAAAAAATTTTTATCAATCTTATTTAAAAAATATTTTAAAAATACAATACCTATATTAAATGTGTATTTTTCAATTTTTATATTGGCCCAATTTAGTTTATAGACTTAGCTTTGCGAAATGATAAAAATTGGCTTCCAGTTATTTTTAGTTGCTACTTTCAAAGGCTAAGACTACTATTATTTTGACCGCATCTGTATATCTGTCTTGCTGTTTCGGGACACTTACACCTGAGGCCAGACACTCGAAAGCATCGGAATTGGACTCCTTTCCATCGCACGTGAGCAGGGAGTAGCAGGTGTTCTTCACAGAATCGGCTAGTTCGCTGCGAGGGTAGTCGTAGCTGGAGTCGATCAAGGATTTGGCTACCTCGTAGTCTTCGTAGCAAGTCCGGGAATCTTCGTCGTACTTATCGGCGTGCTGCTTGAGGAGCGGAGTGTAGTAGTCGAAGCATTCCATGTTGAAAACATCCGACGCCCTCAGAGCCGGAGAGTCACGCAGAAATTCGATCAGTGTGCTTTCCCCCGTAATCTCGACGGAATTGGGAACCACAGCACCGTAGACGGCACCAATGGCCAGGAAAAGAGTCACAGCCTTGAACAACATTTTCACTTTGGGCACTTGAAGAACTTGGTAAGAGTGTGAAGCCCAACAGGCCAGTTTTGGTTTTTATACTACCCACTCCGTTCGAAAACCAGATTTCGAAAATTTACGGTCCCGCAATTATCGTGTGTAGTTTTTATTCAACCTTTATTATCAGGACGCCTGTCATATAAGCATTATCAGTGAAACCCCCGAGATTCAACCTGCTAACTCAATTGAAAACTTTCTTTGTGCTATTTCAAAATCGTATTTTTTATTCTGATTCATAAACAATTGATTTAAAAAAAAAATCACTTTATTATCAGTAATATCATTATCTTTCAACGTCAAATATGTGTACCTAAAAATATGATCGTATATTACTTTCTTAATGGAAAATTAATTTTAATGATATCTGCGCCGGGTTATTCTGTTGTTTATTGTTACCTACTGTTAACAAAAGCTAATAAATAAATTTCATCTAAGAATTACCTAAGGACTCTGCTGATTCTTTTTTACAACTCCTATTTTTTATATTAAATTATGCCATTTAACCCCGTTAACCCCGTTGAATGAAAGAATTGGTATATATTTATTAATAATCGGAGTTATATTTTTGTATAATTTAAGAAGGACTCATAAATTTGGTATACCAAGAGTAGTTTTATTGATCCTATATTGTCTTGACGTTTATTGAAAGTGGCCATAAAGTAGTATCACTGATGGCAGCTAAATTCTCAGAATTTAATCAGTTATATTGAATAAATACTCTCTCAATTTAACGATTTAAATACGTTAGATTTTTATTTAATTGTTATCTTTTAGCTTTGAGAATAATAATTAATGAGGTATATAAATAAAGTTTAAATTTATTGTAGGAAATACTACTTTAGTTCAGACGTTTTTACTTTCCCATAACATTTTTAATTTATTTTAGCTTATAAGCTAGATAATATTTTAAGAATATTTAGTCTAAAGCTTTTTTCGATCGGAGGCAAATATATGACGCTATGCATTTTCAGCTTTTTTTGCTTTATACAATGATTTTTTTTTTTTTTAATTCTCATATGAAATTGGTAAAATAAAAAACTGGGTAGGTAGCCGGGTCATTTTATATATCCCTACTTTTTTAACCGATAACTTTTGTTCTGTCCAGACTGAAAAACGGTAATTTTTTACTTCAGCGGTTAACTTTTCCCGATAGCGGGGACACTCCCAGCGAAGACACCTTCCACTGATATCGATATTAACGATAGTTATATTATATATTATTTAGTTATATCGTGACACATCGATATTTTCGGTCTGACTGCTTCGGTGTTCTGCGAGATTATTTAGTGTGTAACACGATTTTCTGTCTGGCAACACTGTGATGGCATAAACATTTATCCACCTCTGGTTACCTTTGTCAATCAAAATATTAGAAAAAACTTCATTTCCGCCTGAAAAGTGCAGATCGAAATCGTGCGAAAGTGTTAAATAGCGCGTAAATCGACCTTAAATTAAAGAAGCGCTAAAAGGCGAAGAAAAACACGCTTGAACACACGATTTTTTGTTCTTAAATTTTCACTTACGGCAGAGACGCACACGCACGCAGCTCATCGAAGCACACACACTCGCACAGAGAGCGCAGCGCACTCACACACAGCGGCAAGAAGCGGAGACCATCAAACTTAAAATTTGCGAGGTGAAAATAACGAGAGCGAAGGCTTTCCCAGCGCCAAAGTTCATAAATCGCGAGTGTGTTTTCATTAACAATATTTTGGGGGCCATGCCGGATTTACCCCACACCCTGCCCCGCTCCCAAAAACGGGGCTGCCAACTTGCGCGTGTTTTTAATTTTTTTTTTTTGTGAATGGGAAATAAATTGTGGATGCTGTCGCGCGCAATTTTCCCACATATTCCTTTAACTGTATTGTTACGACCACTTTCGAGTGCTTAATTTAGTTGCCCAAGCGGAAGGACGAAGGCGCGTCCTTGATAAATCGATGTGTGCCAAAAGGGAAGGCAAAAGAAACGAAGGGCATACAGGAAATAACGGTGAAAAGCGTGGGCGGCAAGCTGCCTTGAGGACTTCCGCCCCGCCCCCTTTTGTTGCTATTCGTGTCCTTGCAGTCGGCTTAAAATAATCGTTCTGAAATCACGGCAAACTTGCCTTGCCAAGGAAGCCATAGAAAGTTCAAGCTACATATTAATTAAGTAACGACAGCTGATTCGGATTCATATTTGCCATGTTTTTCCCGCTCAATACACGGTTATTTAAAATGTCTTTAAGCTTCAATACCGGATTTTAATTTTTAATATTAAAAGATTAAAATCCTTAATTTCTTATTTGTATTAATTGTATTGTTGTAGGATAACAAATTTGTTCTAACTTCGAACTAAATTAGTACTAAGTAATACGTAGTAATAATTAAGGACTTTCTAGGTTTAATTCAATTATCCCTCCAAATAATCTGTTAATGCACATTCATGATCAGAGTTCCATAGAATTGCAAATAATTATTTCATGTTTACCTGAAATCAAAGTAATCTAGTGAGTCAACTCAACCCATTTTTCTTGAAGGCTCTAATAGTATTTAATTGATTTTCAAAAGCGGAGATTGGCATTTCCGTTACATTTCATTACAATAAAAAAATATTTCGTAAGAACGTCAAAGGCTGAAGTAGTTTAAACGAGAAGAACTTGTTAGTAACTTGAATAAAAAGACTTTAGCACTTTTATCCAAGACCTTCCCTTTTGGCTCTTCAACGTTTTGAATCGCGAGTGCCTTTGCTGGGAGTTCAGGTTCAAGTTCAAGGCTTGTTTATTGATTACCTGTTGCATTATTTCAGAATTCTTGGCACCGGCGAGTCTTGGCCCAGCGAACGAATTGCACCCGCCCGGCACACAGCACACAGCATGTTCAGTGGACATGGGCGGATTCCTGGATAAGCCGAAAACCGCCAAGCACAATGACCAGGGCGAGGGCAACAAGCTGCTCTTCGGGGTCAGCTCGATGCAGGGCTGGCGGTCGGAGATGGAGGACGCCTACTACGCTCGTGCCGGGCTGGGGGATGTCCTGCCGGACTGGAGCTTCTTTGCGGTGTTCGATGGGCACGCGGGATGCAAGGTGTCGGAGCATTGTGCCAAGCATCTGCTGCACAGCATCATCAACACCGAGGAGTTCATAGGAGGCGACCACGTGAAGGGCATTCGCACCGGTTTCCTACGCATCGATGAGGTGATGCGAGATTTGCCGGAATTCACCCAGGAGACGGAGAAATGCGGCGGAACCACCGCCGTGTGCGCCTTTGTCAGCCTCACGCAAGTGTACATCGCCAATTGTGGGGACTCTAGAGCAGTCCTGTGCCGCCAGGGAGTTCCCGTTTTTGCCACGCAGGACCACAAGCCCATTCTGCCGGAGGAGAAGGAACGCATTCACAATGCCGGCGGCAGTGTGATGATCAAGCGGGTGAATGGCACCCTGGCCGTATCAAGAGCTCTCGGGGACTACGATTTTAAGAACGTCAAGGAGAAGGGACAGTGCGAGCAGCTGGTGTCGCCGGAACCGGAGATATTCTGCCAGAGCCGTCAGGATAGCGATGAGTTCCTGGTGCTCGCCTGCGATGGAATCTGGGATGTGATGACCAACGAGGACGTGTGCAGCTTCATCCACTCGCGAATGCGAGTGACCAGCGACCTTGTGAGCATTGCCAACCAGGTGGTGGACACATGCCTGCACAAGGTGAGTCCTAAACTCAATTATATCCAGCAGATTTTAACACTTTGCTCACTATTCGGAAAACAGGGTAGTCGGGATAACATGAGCATTATCATCATTGCCTTCCCCGGAGCTCCGAAACCCACCGAGGAAGCGATAGAGGCTGAGCATCGGCTGGAGAAACAAATCGAGAAGATCACAAGAGGTTGTCTAAGTCGTCTACTCTGTTTATAACTAATCGTAAACTGTTGATCCATGGCGTAGTGGTCTCCTTCTTCTCCGTGTCTTTATCGAACCGAAATACGTATACATTGTACCTTGAACGCCATGAGCGTTTCTATAAGGCCCCTCTAAGGGCCACATCCCCGACCTTAAGTCCTTCTAGACTAGTTTTTGCCCCACTTTGTTCAAAAAGTCGATTCCAACAGAACAGTTCCTTCCAACAGTATCTCCAAAACAAAAACGATATTACAAAGAATACCAAACCATTGCCATTACCAATGCCAAAAATGAACCTCACACGCACCCACCTCAAGTACAGTGAAAGTTCTCTTGGATAGATAATAATACGTTGTTTTGAATTTAAACATTTTGCAGGTATATTTAAGAGGCAAAAAGGCTCAATTCGAATTTAAAGATTAATCAAATTATTAGGTGTTGATATACAAATTATACTTTAATTCTCACAATTTATAAAATGCCTGTGATAATGGCTCACAAGATATAAAGAAGAGTGTAGCGATTACATATCTTGGCATCTTTATGATAACGCTCATAATATATATTTCAGAGAATATTTAGTTTCAGTTGTATAAAATACAGCAGAATTTTATTTGTAACCCAGGGATTTTCTATAGAGAACTTTCACCGTATATTGCCTGTACAAATATGTAAATGGGGGCGAGTGTGGGCGTACTACCAATATCCTATCGCTAATGCATAGTAAATACCTGAATAGCGTGTTAGTTTGTCATATCTGGTGGCTGTGCGTGTGGCTGACCACAGTTCCTTTACCGTGTGTGTGTGCCTGAGTTATAGTATTATTTATACATGCCTGTGTGTACCACAGCCACTGCCAAAAGCGTTCCATGTATGCGAAAATCCAGCCCATTTAGCCTTATTATTACATATACACAAAAATATTAACAATTATCGACGAACCTGCCCGAGCTAAGTAGTTAAATGACCCGTCATCCAGTTTGTATATACAGTTTGTACTATACATACTGGCCACGATGCAAATCAATCAAAGCAAATTGCAATACTAAACGTAGGCAGGTATTGACACTCAAAACAAACACTTGGAATTGATGTAACTAGTAGGAGTAGTGAAATAACACGTATTTTCTAAGCAATTAACGTATAATAGGATGTCTTCAGAGAAGATTCTTTGTAGGTAAATTGTACATAAGCTGAGAAGCCGACAGAAACCTTGACAAAAGCAATGAAAATATATTTTATGAACTAGCAACCGCTCAGAATAATTGTAGTCGTATTACATGGATTATGTATAGAAAGCAATAAATACTAGAGAAGAATTTCTCTGAGACTTCAGTATTCGCAACACCAAAGTGAATTTCGGCCGATATCCAGAGGCTGAGCTTCAGACGTGACCTTGTTGATAAAGACAAATACTTTAACCCGATTCTTACGATTTACAAATTGCGAATTAGTGAATAGAACTAGAGCATGCATTGCCCACCACTGGCCAAAGTAGCTAAACCAAATTTGAAATATGAAAACCTAGTATAAGGAATTAACCAATAATGGAAAATACTCAATGTCCAGACGAATTACTTAGCCTAGAGTAGACTAGCCAAATGGTTTTTGAATGTTACGTATACGTAGGTTAAATGAAACCGAATTGTAAACCTTATGCTCACCAACTGTTGTGCTTGTTGTTAACGAAGGCAAACGATTACTTTACCCAGAAACGATCAAACATATACCACACAATCTAAGCAATTCCCCCGAAATGTTTGTATCCGGGTTCCATGATAAAACGGTGACTCAGCCAAGAGTGTAAAACACACACAAACAACATCCTAACATACACGATTTATAGTAATTAATTAATTACCACAGATGCAAGTCAAAAATATAACTTAACAAAAGATTCGAAAACCAAAGTCAAAGTGTTTGTCTGCCGTTCTATTGGATTAAGTTTTCTAGTTCTCATTTGGTTTTCATTCTCTTCCTTCCATTTTCTTTTCACATGCACAAGACAGTAAGCAAATCTTATATATTTCTCAAATATTTTTCATTTTATCCAAAAACCCGTCCCAGCAGATCATTTTTTCATTTCGCTTTGTTCCTTAATTTTTCTTGATTTTTTAAGAGCCAGATTTTATCTAAAGTAATCTGTCAAAAGGTAAATTTTAGCCATTCGCTGTCGTTGTTTTATGGTTGTTGTTCGCGCCTCGTACTTCAAAACCCCAATTTCTAATACATTATTGCCACACAAAAGCGCGAATTAGCCAAATGGGCCAAATGTCAATGCAAGAAAAAGAAACAGAAAGCAATTCAAATTTAAGATGAGTGAGCATAAGGTACGTCTATAATTTTGTAGTTTGTCAATTTTCGCAAGTCACTATGTCATTTCGTTATCGTTTATCTTATCGATTGGTTGGTTTAATTTTATTTTGCCTACACCCGCCCCCGCCCACCTCCAATAAATGGTTATCTGTGTATTAATTGTAAAAAGTGATCCACACAATTCAACAGATAATCGAAAATGCATGCCTCCGTAAGCCACAATACAAAAATGAAACAGTTTCTAAACGAAATCACTTGACTGTTCGTAAAATGTTATACCTAAAGATTCAATTTATTTCTTTCTTAAAGATATTTAAAAAAATTGTATATTTAATAAAAAAAATAATACACAAACCGTGCTTAAAATGCGTGATTAGAACTATAATTAAAAAAAATACTTTTTTATTCTTCAAAAGAGCATACAACTTTTCTACAGCTTTTTTTTACCCATCGACCATGCATCAAGTTTATTCTATTCCCTTGTTATTAAATCGCTTGAGATGGCCACACATTTTCCATTTTAGTTGAATTTTATAACAGAGTTCATATCAATATTGCATTTGCTTTAAAGTAGCTTAACTATGTAATTCGTGTTTCTTTATGAACCATTTATGTACATAAATATTTATTTATAAAAGTCTTTTAAGCTAAGATCGGTGCCTGTTAAAAACCCGTGTCTAACCGTTGTATTCTCTCTGATTTTGTTGCAGACGAAATAGAGTCTAGCAAGATAACCGACTACGTGGATCTGCTGAAGTGTCTGCAGAACAGAGACGACATTGAAGGTCTTCCACCCGGTGGCGGTCTGCAGTCCAAGTGAGTAAAACATGTCCGAAAACAGCGACCTTTGATAGCTAATCAGCGGTGTTTACCTTTACAGATATCACGTTATCGAGCGCACATTCAAGCAAGAGTTTCCGGATCGACCATGTGAAGTACGAAATCTGTTCTATAATCTCTAACTCGGTTCGCTGCGCTTTCGCCACCGCTAACATACATATTTTAATCGCTTGCATAGCACCGTTTTTGGTCATTATAGCCTTTGAAATTGCCTTGTTTTTTTCTGATTCAATCAGTAGATCGACACAAGCGGATTTGGTAATGATTGAGATATCACAGTTTCATTCGATCGTCACCATTAATCACTGCTATCGTTTTATGTTCAGTTGGGGGTGCCCTTGCCCACGAATCGTAACCTCTAATCTTGGCTACCTATTCTCTTTCTTTTTTCTAGCTGTATGCATATGATGATATATGAATTTTGTAATGCTAATTGTTCATTTTAAATCCAACCAACAACCAACAAACCAGCAAGAGAACAAAGATAACTAAACATCCTAAGCTTCACATACTCTAAATGTAAGGCGATAATCCATTATGTTGCTTGCCTCGTCCCTGTATCATCGACCTGCCTCCATACTGTTTCGCTTTGTTTCGTTTCTTTTGTTTCAAGATTTGAGAGAACCGCATGTCTGTTCCTGCATGTTTCATCTTATTCTACCCACTTCCGTTTCCGCTTCCGCTTCAGACGCAAGCTTGTATCCTGTGTGAAAGTGTCCTTAACAACCGGCTCCCCATCATGGTCAATAATCGAGATATTTGTTATTCTTGCAGAGTCCAACGCATTAGGTTGCAGTCGAAAAACAAAACAAAACCAGTTAAACAAATGCAGCAACCAGATCAGAACAGAAAGCAGAGCCACACAACTTGAACGAAGCAAACAAACAAACAAACAAACAAGAACACACACCAAACAGTTTTCTACTTTGATAAACACAAAAGAAAAACCTACTAATAATGATAATAATAAGAATAACGATACATTTATAGTTTATACGAAGCAGTCCTAAACACAACAATACCATACAAACAGCCACGCCCCACACAACTCTAAGATTTAGGTGAGATCTAGAACAGAGCGTACCTGAGCAGAACTCAGAGAACCCGAAATCGGATAAAAATCAAAGGATGGCTAAAAGCCAGCAGCAGAACCACACCCAGAAGATTACTCCGAACAGTTTCCCAGCCATCTTTGTGAATGCTAACCCTCTGTGTGTCCTATCGTTCCGTCACTCCTCATCAATCAGCAATCACGAGTACAACCGCCAGAAAACAAATTCTTAAAAAATGTGGAAACAAAAACAGTAAAAACAAAAAACACAGGAGTCGCTCCAATTTTTGTGTAAAAGATCTTTTTTTATTTCAAGAAACCATGTATTAATTATTGATTCCGAAACGAAAGCGGACTTTTGTAAGTTGTAAAATGTTTGTTACCGAAAAAACACTTTTTGTTCACCTTTTATATATGTATATGAGAAGATGTGTCGCCAAGCCTGAAGCGAAACTTAATAATGTAAAGTAAAAAATGTTTAAACAAAACAAGAAAAAAAAAATGGTAAAAGAAAACCAAACTAGCAAACAAAAACTGTAACTATCTAAATATGGAAACGAAAAAGTAATACCTAAAACCTAATGTTAGCGAAGCAAAACAAAACAAAAGCAAATCCACAATAATGTCCGATCTTAAAGAAACGAGAATGAAAACTAAGAACTATTAATTTATAAGATGCAAGTTGATGATGAAAATCTAAAGAGAGAAAAGCAAAATTACGCTCGAGTTTGTAGTAAATGTTGATAAAAAAAAAAGCGAAACCCCAAGTTTTTAATCAGTCGATTGATCAGTCGTTCAGCTGCACTGTGTACCAGTCGTATCACCTCCAGAAACGACAAGTGTTATCCTTGGAGGCGGTAAGAATGGCGTCTCCTGAGTAGCTGTAGGCACAACTGAACACCTCACCTTCGTGCCCGGCCAGAACTTGGGAGCACTGTCCGGTTTCCGAGAGCCACAGGCGAGCCGTATTGTCCGCCGAGGCTGTGAGCAACATGCAGCCACTGGGACTGAAGCACACCTTGGACACCTCATCCGCATGCCCTGCCATCAGGGACAGCATCTCCAGCTGGTCCGCGGATCCCTCCACTTTCCAAACCCTCGCCGTGCAATCGCTGCTGCAGGTGGCCAAGTGTCTGCCAGCTGCATCAAAGCACACATCGAGCACTTCATCGCTGTGCTTGGCGGCCAAGTGAAGTGCCTGATCCAGCTTTCTAATGTCCCAGATCCTGGCAGTGTTGTCCAGGGAGCCCGTGGCTATCAGCGATCCACTGAAGTTCCAGATGCAGTTGGACAACTCTGCGCTGTGACCCCGCAACTGATGGCTGAGACTGCAAAGGGAAGTTATAGAAACGCTCTAATTCGGACTAAAAAAAACCCACCTTTTGCTCCTCACATCCCAGATAGCTGCCGTATGATCGAACGATCCAGTGAGCAACAACTGACCATCGCGATTGTATCGCGCTGCAATCACCTCTGCTCCATGATGGCTGAGTTGCTGCAGTTCATGGGACGTTTCCACATCGTAAATTCGGGCTGTTCCATCCATGGAGGCGGTGGCTATGGAATTCGAATGCATCGGATGAAACTCAGCGGCCACCAACTCGGCAGAGTGGCCAAAGAAAGTGCACAGGCACTGGCCACTGCTGGCGGACCAAACTTTGGCGGTGCCATCAAAAGATCCAGTCACTATTTTGTCGCTGTAAAATATATCACGAAGATTAAGGATCAAATATTATATATCAAATATTTGTCAGGTAATTCTTAGAAAAGCAAATATCTTTTAAATTAACAAAGGTTTTTAAAAGGAATAGGATCGTTCCTGAATTTGTTAGACAGAGTTTTTGACTACGTTTCTTCTCATTATTTAACAAAAACTTAATACAATACCAGTGAGGAAGATTGAAGCCCACAGAGAAGACAACATTGTCGTGGCCCGTGAGGATGTGCTCCACCTGGGCCGTTTGGGTGTTGATCACGTGGCAGGTGCGATCATAGCTTCCAGTGAGACATCGTTCACCACTCCGATCGAAGGACACATTTGTCAAGGGTAGAATGTGCGAGTTGTGGCACTTGTGCAGATAGAATTTCTTCTTGACTGGTTCACGAAGTTTCCTCTGCAGCTTTTCCAGAGCCTGTTTCAAGGCACTAAAGGTGTTTTGAGATCTTGTTACACATCCGCTGACTGGACGAGGTGGTGAAGCCTTCCCTGAACATCCAGGCGTTTGATCTTCCTCCTCCGCTTCGGCTATAGTTTGAAGTAGAATCCGGTCTGCCAGCGGTTCAATATTGCCTCTGAAAAGGAAAATCAAAGATTTATTACATATTTTTTAAATAAAAAAACTAAGTTATATATTTTAAACGTCACTTACTTTGAATCTAGGTCAAGTAGATCAAAATGACGCAGTCGTTCATTGCCCTTTGCTGTTCGATAGTTTATGGCCAGTCCTAGGATAACCCAATACAAATAAGTATCTATTAAAACCTCTGTATAATGACCTTTCCCACCTGGCGGATAGTAACGCAGAAAGATTTTGTTGGCACTCATTCCGAGGTTGTTGTGACTCTGACAACTCGGAAATTCCTGCACAACAAACTTCGCTGGCTGTCAGTTTGCTGACCTGCTTTAATTCAGCTTTTGTTGATTTGACTGGCTGCCATGCCAAAATCCTTGTTTGATCGATTCACCTTGGCTCCTTGTACTAGGTCTGTGTCGAGGTCTCAAGGATGAGCGCTTCAAGGATGTAGGGTAATGTATTCAGATTATATGCAGGAATTTGACTTCGCTCGTCTAACGCTTTGTCTCTATTGGTTGGTGTTGGTTGGCATTTGAAATTGGCAATGCTTGCTTTCAAAGCTTTTCTAACAAATGAAAAGCTTTTCATAGCTGGTTCTTCTACTTAGCCATTAATGAAACCTTATTTAATATGTAGAGTTCTCAAACTCATGTAAATATGGGACTTTCTGTTACCTTAAATTTATAAATTATTTTATTTATTTATTTTGGTTTTCAAAATTTCCTTTTCAAGAAAATGGTAAAATTAATTTCAGATTATCCATATTTCATTTTTCCCATCCGTTTTTGTTTCCGAGTCTTTCGCTTAATATTGTAAGTGCTCAAATATTAATGGGTAAGCACAAACATTTTAATAATTAAGAAGCTAGCTTATTGATTTTGGTTTTGACATTTTCGTTTTCATGCTGTTCCGTTATAGGACAGTTTAATTTAAAAAACGAGAAGCACACGACTAATTAACTTTTCTAGACTCCCACTGCCAGCTGTCGACACCAACTACTATCTGACCTCTCCCTAACCCTTGACCTACGATTGTCCTTTGGGAAACCCCTTTGGCATCTGACAGTCACCAGGAGCGGACGGCTAAATGGTCTCTGGCCATTAAACCTAATTAGCTTGTTTAAGAGGGAAAAGGAAGCTCGGGGCCCCCAGAGGCCAATTGGCTGCCGACACCTGGTCGCATTTTAAGCAGATTTAACATATGTCCCACACGGGCAGGCACGCAACCACCCACCCACCTACAATTAGATTGCCTCACCTGGCTCCTTCGCCTCGTTTTGGTCTTTTCACTAATTTAATTTGTTCAGTAATCGCTGCGTCGGGCTTGGGGCAAGGAGGTGAACGGAATTGTCTGAAAGCCGAAGGACGCCAGGCTGGGAATCAAGTGGGACACCCAAGGAACGGCCATTAGCCAGCCTACAAAAAGGCAAGCGGGAGGAACTTGGTGGGTGGAGGACAAATACCCACACCAGTTGACCATAGCCAATAATGATAAGTAATGATTAGATATTATCGCACCCAATTTCGGTGCACAGCAGCAGAAGAACTGAAAGCGACAGGCGGGCGATGAACAAAGGCGGAAACTAAATGGACAGGGAAAAAAGTGAGAAAATCGTGGGAGTACAGTGGGAAAATATGGACAATGAAGAAAGTGAGAAAATCTTCAGGGTACAGAGAAAAAATATGATACAAATTGATAAAAAAAAAAAACTTTAGTTTATGCCGCTATGTCGTGCAATTTACTATTTTATTACAAAAAAAGTATTTGGTATATATATATGTATATATCAATTTTTTATTTAATTTTATAATCAAAACATGTATAAACATACTTATTCTTTTATTCGCTATTTATTCCACTAAAATTGTTCTTACCATAATTTTATGATTTTTAAATCTAAAATTTAAAAGAAACTTGAAGACATGACAATTCTATCACTTGAACAAGAAAATTTAAACAGATTCTTAAGTTTTTCGTCTGTGTGTTGAAAAATTGTGCGGAAAACTTGTGTGGGTGGAGTAAGTGCAATGAGGTGGTGAGAGTCTGTGTCTTTGTCAATAATAAAACATTTCATTGAATGTCCATTGAATGGCGAGTGGCGAGCATGGGGAAAATGACAAAGTTCGAAAGATGGAAATGGAAACGAGGGCTTTGGCTCGTTTTAAGGGGGCAGGAGGCACCTGGGAGGTTTTCGCCCTGTCAATCATCTGGGGGTCGTGAGCGAAAGCAACAGCTGTGCCCATTCCAGAACATTCATCTCTTCATTTAAATGTCCGATGTAATTGGGAGATCCACAGGACTTGTGGCAAACGGAAGCTGTAAGGGAATCAGAGACGAACAAATGAGAGTACGAATGGAAATAAAATCAATTTAAAAGCCCATAAAACGCTTTCATAAACAAAGCAACAGACGGGGGCAGGCGAAGAGCATCGGTCGGATTTGAATTTATGCTCAATAAATTTTTGTTGATTTCCGGCAGGCGGCTTCAATCGAAATCTGTGTGTGTTAGGCATGAAAATGCGGCGTTGCATAAATTATAGACACACATACGAGCCTTACCTTTCACAAAAAGCCTCGGAAAGGTTGGAAAAAGAAAAAAATTTTACTGCCGCATTTTATGCGTGTTTGCTCGACAATTTAAGAGCTGGGTTCCTCGTTATCCATTTCGGCCAAATAATGCTTGAAAAGCACAAACTGCGAGAGGCCACAGACCCTTAGCCGATAGATCAGTCGAAGGGAAGGATGAGCTGTTCACATCGTGCAAAATATAAACAGATTTTCGGTTTGTGTTTGACTAAGCGACATAAAATTCGATTTTTGTTTTCCTTTCTACTATACATAGTAGTGCCGCCCGCGGCTGTTAGGATATCTGTTTTATTTTTTGCTTTTTGTTGACGTGTGTGGCCGGTTTTCAGGTTTCTAGCTAAAAGGAGTCGTTAGTGGCTTTCTAATTGGAGAGGGAAACTGGCTGGCGGGACTTCAAACGGTTGGTAATCGAATCGCCGTGCTATGCGGCACTAAAATCATTTTCACAGATTTCGGAGCGAAACCAATCGCTCTCTGTGTGGTAGCTTTTCCCTAGTAGATGGGTGGAGTGTGGAGAATGTTATGTATTTTTGTTTACTGTGCACTTGCATTCCGCTTGACTTACTTTGAGTAGTGAAATCATATATATATATTCCCTTAACATTTTTTACAATAAGAAAGATAATGCTTTATTGATCTTTCTAAGTATTTAAATTTTATATTGCCACACACGTGGAGGCAGGCAATTTTATTCCCTATCTATTTCTTTTAAGAGTTTTATAAATTTGTAAAATACCTTAAAACAAAATCCAAAGCAGCAGTAGGTTCTAGTTGGCTTAAACAGCATTTGTGAGCCAATAAACAACCTATAAACCTGAGCCTGTGCGAATCCCCAGCTATGACGCATTCTGCGGCTTAGCCAGTGAAAAGTTTATGACTTTGATAAATTAAATTTTGCTTGGCCTAAAACACACAACCAGAACCGAGTTTTCGTAGCTATCCCTTAGGTTTAAAAATATCAAAATTCGAGTTTACCCGGCAGCCCAGCAACCGGCGGAAGTTTATGGGCAAATTGTGTTCAGGCTGGAAACCTTTAACCGTTTATGCCCAATTGAAATGCAGACGCATCGAAATGTTATAAAATTTAATAATGGCCATGTGCAGGTTGCCAAAACCCCCTGCTCGTGTGCTCATGTTTTGAAGTTTTATTGTGGGCTTTATTAAATGGTATGAGGAAGTTCGGCAGGCATTTTCTGCGGTTTAGCGGCCGCATCAAGTATACGCACCATAAATCAGGGTCAGCGCCGGCAGAAGCTCCCTTTTTTTGGGCCGAACGACGCATTAAAGGCATAAAACCTGCTCTTAAATCGCCAACATGACCGTTCGTCATAACGGTAAGTGGTGCTTAAAATGAATTATGCATTGCCTTCGGTTGATATTATATTAAATCATACATACGGGTTGCCAGCCTCCAAGTGGGCAACTTTAACGGAGCTATTGCGGCCCTCATTCAGTCACCGAGATTTTCTTGCCACTAACTGTTCCCAGTATAACTGTCCCAGCTGAAAGATGAATGGCATGTTAATTTGTGTGAATTATATTGGCCATTTATTTCCACTGATTTCTGCTGGGCTTCGCTTTAGCCTCAGCTCAAGCTTTAACTTCGAACGCCATCGATCGCCTGCAATTGACACCGAATGACAGAGTAATAAGCAATTAATTATGGTTGAACGTACAAAAAGCCATTGGCTTCCCTGGGCATTCAACAAGTCTCTTTAGCAATGGATTTTAAGGATTTCCTAAAATATTTGGAATATATGACATTATACAAAATAAATTAATAAATTTAGCATTCTATAATGAATAATGAATTATTTTTAAAAAAAATCTAAGCCAATAACTTATTTCCAAAGCTAATTTCCTTATTTTTCTTCCACTTTCAGGGCAGTGGAATTTCATATTTTATTCCTTTCTAAAGGACAAAAATCAATTTCGAAACATTCACTTTGCCTGTAAGGTAAGCACTTTTAATTATACGTTTTTGTGTCCATTTCTTTTATGTATGCAAAATGTTATCGTTGTAAATTATAAAATGGAATCCATTAATGCAGGCGAATATATGTATGCATATAGTGTGTAGTTGCAGTCACACAACGCCATGATGGCCCATCTATGCAAAATTCATTTTCCCAAATAGTATGCAATGGGAAATGTGCGTGAAATTTATGCAAACAAGCTACGTTGGTTGTTGGTTGTCGCTTGGTTGGCTGAGTTCATGTGTGCAAATGACTTTCGAAGCAGATTATGTAAGTCGCTTAAGTTCATGCATAGTGCAAGTGACTTTCACTAAACACAAGTTTGTAAGCGATTTGCTAAGCTTGTACCTGGATGACCCTCTCAAAATCAAGATAGAAAAAACTGATAATGTCATTTTAAATTTCATATCATTAAAACGGTTAAAACATTAATACTTAAGGAAATGAAGCCATTTCTGCCCTTAAAGTGCTCAAATATGAATTTAATTAATGTTAATTGGCAAAATATTTTCAATTTGCACCTGTGCCAGCAAACAAAAGTGAAACATAACCAAAAGGAAATGGTAGAGTTAATTGCATATTGCGTATACGCCACGTTGCCTCCACGAGAGCTACGAGTGGCAATTTCCAAACATTTTTGTTATTCCGTTTGCCAGTTGTTCGGCACGAGTTTGTGATTTTATTTTATTTTTTTTTTATTTGGCTTGTTTTGTTTTGCCATTCATGTGCTTATGGGTAAAGTTTTCTGGTTTCTGACTGGGAAAGTTTCTACATTGCCGGCATATTGGGATTTTAGTGATTCAGCAGGGCGGCGAATTCAATAAAATCCCTTCGACCAATGACCACAACTTTCGCCAGCAATCTCGATCTGATCTGACTTCACCCCGTGCTCCTTCTTCGCCTCTAAGCTGCAATGCAGTGCAACTCAATCAAAATTTATTACACATACGCGCCGTTGTACAAAGTCGAGGTACGGAGAAGCCCAATCATCGGGTATAAGGAGTTTCTGTAGTTCTGGACGAACTGATGTTCACTTTCAATTCGTTTAATGGGTCACTTGGGCGTGTGGCCCGAAACTTTTCACGAGCTGGCAAACAAGCCATAAAAGTAAATAGCCAGCCACGTTGAAGTAGTTGTGCACATGTATTGCACAGAAACTAAATAATATGCAAAATTTGATCGAATATAAACTTTTGTAAATGTTGTTTAATACAATCTAACGCTAATATTAGTAAACAAATTGTTTGTATATAAGCGACTTTTGGGTGGTGTGTCTTTTAAAAAGCCCTTTTTTATTATTTAATTATTAAACCTATGTTGATTTTTGGCGAGGCTTTTATTTTAATGACTCAAGATCGAGAGTAACTTTTTTTGTGTTATATATAAAACTGTCATACAAGTTTAATAATAACAAATACCAACAATTTTGTGCTATTATTAAAGTTTTAAAGTAATATTTTTCTTGTGTGTAAATGGGTGCAAAGTGGGTGGTGCTTGGATTCCTCATTGGTCCTTTGGTAACCACAAAAGCGCACGCAACCGCACACCTGCAATATTTGTTAGACCGCGAAGCGACCACGCCCCCATACCAAAATCAGAGCCCTTAAATATAATCGCGGGAAATTTAGACATTGTTGGCATTCGTGCAAAATGATATTTGAGAAAGATAATCGCCCTGATCCAATGATATGGCACACACACGCCCAGATTGGCGTGGGAAAAGTGGTGAGAGGGGGTTCACAGGACATTGAGGAGATGGCGAAGTAAGTCATTCAACCGCTCGTTCCTTGGGCACAAAGTTCCTCTCACGTCGTCTATTAAGCTCACTTTCAAGTCAGCCTCTGGCGTTTGTAAAATAAGCTTAACGTCCTGCCCTGTGCGTGTGTGTGTGTTGGTCTGAAAGTGTGTATATGTGTGAGTGTGTGTGTTTGCGTAGCACCCGCACGTTGCCTTTTATATTTTTCAAGGCACATGCAACACCTTAGCACGCAGATCCTTGCCCCAAGCCATTTAGTTCGTTCACCCAACGAGTTCAGCTTGATTTCAGCTTTTTTATCTCCAACCTCAAGTAATCTGAAAAGCTAATTTTTTAAAGAACCTCAAATATTATTTTAATTTATGTTTAATCGAAAGGCGATCTGTGAAATCTCAAAAGCCATTTAAGATGCGGTCCACTTTTGGGTAAGAAGACCCCTTTAGGTTTTCAACAATTGAATACTTCTGCCAATTTAACTTGAAATATATTCTTTTTAATTTTTAAAAAATTTTTAAAGAAATTAATCAATTATTTACAAAATTTCACAGCTTACTGAGCTTAAAATATATTAAGAAACCATGAGAATTCTTATTAACATTCTTATTAAGATTCTTCTTATATTATTACTTTAACTTACTTCGTGTTTCACCAAAAATACAATCAAATCGTTGCCTCGATTTTTCTTTCTATCTGGTTTTTATTTAACTCTTATAAATGATTTTCATTCGCACAGCAATTTAGATAAAATCACTTTCAGCTGAAAAACATTTCCACCTTTCCACCGAACAACAGAGAAAAAAACATAAATATTTCGCCGTTCTTGCTGACGGCATATCAATGCGAGTGGGAGTGGCTGGGCTGAATGGAATCGTTTTGCCAGGTTTTAATCGCTTTTCAGATTAAAATGAACTCAAAATGGGAGTGCAAAAAGCTACAGAAATTGGAAATATAAATAGCATGGGGATAACAAAATTCTGCGATAAGTAGGGTATTTTGAGACTAACTCCCGTGTGTGATTTTGCTGGCATGAGTTCTTTTTTGGAATATTTATTGCGTGCCATCGAGCAGGTGGTGGCGCAGAATTGGCTGGTAAGTGCCGTGGGGAGCAACTCGTTCGTGCTGGCACGTTAATTGAAATTCGGGGATCCCAGGTGGGGCATATTCATCCATCGACAAGACGAACAGCGGTCTAAAATTTATGCGGGCACTGATAAAAAGTTCGGAATATTATAAATATTTTTGTAAAATTGTATTGTTATTAAGAATATATATTTTAGGGCTTTGGAGAGAAACGAGGTGAATTTAAACAGACAAAACATGGAGAAAAACGCCAAGCTATGGCTTAGTTTTTATGTGTTAAGCATTATTTTTTTAATCATATAAAAGAAAACTATTGTATAATTTTATACCTGGTTTATTCCAACTTCTTTGTAAAGTATACAATTCTATTAAAATAGTTACTGCTACTAAAAGAATTTTCAAAAGTGATAACTAAGGGAAAAAGTTTACCAAAATGCTAAATTTAAATTACTTGGTGTAAGGTATTTTTGTTAATTAAATGTTCGTTTTAATCGCTTTTTCTTCTTTAATTTTTCCCGAGTGGACAATGTACGTGCCCCAACCATGTACATGTCCCGCTGCTGCCGGTTTGCCGGTTGCATGTTGCACGATGCTCCTTGCGCGATTCGCGTTGCTCGTTGCCTGTTGCCCATTTGCCCGCCCGTTCACCTTCAATCCTTTGCAATGTGTTGAATTACATAATTTAAAGTTCGCTCTGCAGCTGCATAATCCTTCCAGGTAACTGGCTGCTCCACAAGTGTCACACACAAGGCGCCCCGACCGTGGTCCTTTTATTAGATCAGCGGCCCATCGTCAGGACAAAGTTTACCCGACACGAACTTTTCTCGGGCACCGCCTGGCCAGAGCCCAAGTTGGAAATTAAATTCCTTGTGTAAACACACTCCGTCCCTCTAAAAAGCAGAGAGGCTAACCATTGCATCGATATCGCGGTCGTATACGTAATATGCAAATGTAATCAGTGCCCACATTTTATGTTCCTTCGTGTGTGGACGTGAGTGTGTTTCACAGTTTTATGTGAGCCTTGCAGGAGTAACTTTGTGTTCAAAAAACTTCCCGATCCTTAGCCAAATCTATTTGTATTTTAAGGACACGGCGTCTCCTTCGGTTATTTTTAGCTGGAAAAGTGAATATAACAGTCAGTCCTAATAAATTTTAAGGTCGCAAATATTCCTTAAAACAGTGCTCACTATTCGGTATTTAAATAATTATTGTGATTGTTCAACTGTTAACTGTTCACTTTCCTTTGGTGAAAGTAATTCCATCGACTTTAGATACTGCTTATCGCAGTTCAATATTAACCTTCCCATAAATAGCACCTTTTGCAAGGTGAGATGTGTCAGATATCCCACATCTCTCGTCATGATGCCGGTCATTATCTCAGCTCTACCGATCGCAGTTCTCTGGCTGGCTTATATCAGCGGTGTTTCTTCCGATTGCTGCACTTCCATGGCGATACTAGACTTTAAGATCCGCGGTCGTGTCTGCGGTACAGTGGGGGCGAAAAGTAATGGAAGTGGCTACAGAATCACCATTTGCGCCAATGGCGAGGCCCTCGTGGGAACTTACTGTGGCAAGGCAGCTTGCGATATTTTTGGATGCGATTGCATCAAAGGCTGCCTGCAAGGAACTTGGGCCCAAGATTTTTTGAGAAAAAACTATTTACTTGGCATCGAGCTATTGGGCACTAAAATGACCAACGTGTGTGCATTATGTAAGTTTCTTATTGACAATGGAATCAGGAAGTTATAATTTTCTTAAGTTTTAAATAAAAGGGATGCTTCTTTGCTGTATGAAAATATTTTTTTGAATGTAATATTGTGGAATGGGGACAGGAAATCAGTTAGGCAGACCATCCAATACCTCTTTTGTTTTTTTGCTTCTCTCTTCATTTGACATGCAAAATGGATTTTCCGTTGCCGACAGACACATGGCACCCTTACGGATATTTTTCCGCCTGCGCTAAATGAAAAACATCCGCATATGGAACTAGTTTGGCATCTGAACAACAAAGGCATAAAAAATGTGGAGAATACCCAGCTGGATATTTTTGTCTAAGCGCGACTGGCATTGTTTCCAATCAAATGCCATCCTTCAGATTCGCTTCTATTTTGAACTTGATGTTGTCAATTTTAATCAATTCCACACAAAGCTTCCATGATCTCATAGTTTTTTAGCGAGAAAACTAGTAAGGAAAAAGTCTGCATTAGTTTATACCAAATATTCTGACTTACTTGCATTTTAACTTAAAAATTGTATATTTGTAATAAAAATGGTTCGAAACTTACCCTGAAACCTTGTAAGCAAACGCTTCTTTCAAAAGCCCCTGTAATGTTTTGCCAATTTCCACATTTTGTTCGCTTTTTGGTATGGCTTGAATGTGGATTTCATGCTCTCATCTCGAACTGCAAAAAAATACTACATGGAGGTGTGTGCATTTGTCGCCTTTTCCGTAATTGAATGCTTGAATTTAATTGGAACTGCACGCCCTGTTGATTTCACACACAAACTGAATGCATACACATTATTGACAGGGCGTCGAGTTGATTTGAGTTGAGTTGGGCCACGCTCAGGTGCTTGAAACCTACCACTACACTTGCACCACATACACTCATACACTGAGCGAAACAGAGGTGTATAAATTTATAAGCCGAAAAGAACCTGATGACAAAACTATTACAAATTGCTAAGACAGTTAAGCAATTGGGCTTATGATTTTCAAATATAAAAAAATATCAAGGAAATCATACCTTCTTTAATATTTATGACCCTAACATTAATTTAATACTAATATAGATTATGTTGAATTTTTAATAAGACTTAATACATTCTTCGGTTTCAATCTAGCTTTTACGGAAAGATAAATTCTATCCCAACCACTTATTAATGCATTTTTTCCTTCAATGTGTAGGTTGATTCTTTTCGGAAAATTGTAAAGAATTTTACACCGATTTGTTTGGCAGTGCTTTGGTATTCTTGGTCTGGGCAATCGAGTCCAGTGCAAACCGAACGTTGACTTATTCATATTGCGATAAGTTGGCGCACCTTTTTTTTGGCAGCTTACAATTCTTGCCAATAACATATATATGGAAAAAACCTGGGGGGTACAACCTGCAGTGGATGAGGCCTGAAGTCTGCTCCCCGCCCTAATTGCCATGGCAGCTCGTTAGCTTCAAAGAGCCCGCGGCGGAGCTGGCTAATGGCAGAGGTAATGCTAAGGCTAATACTGATGCTAATGCCGATGTTAATGCCATTGGCCGCTGGTCGCAGGCCGCTGGCCGCCACTCGACCTGGCCCACACAGAATTGGCCAAGCGGCCAGGTAAACAACACGAAAAAATATTAAATGAACCGCAAAATTGTGCAGCTGGCCGAGCTTGGCAAAAAGAATACAACATCATAGTGAAAGAAGGACGCTTGTCTGTGGGTGAAGGACCATTGATGAGAGGCTAAATATAAATTGGCATACTTGCACCCATTGACTCGGCCTTGGATTTGATCCCATTCCACTGGCAGGATTTGGAGTACGCGCCCGACACATTCATGAATTTTTAAAGCCCAGGACAGCTTTCGTTTTCCACTAAGCAGACCACTTTCAATTTTCCCTATATATTTGTTTGTATACTATGTATATGTAGTGACTTACGAAGCGCGTCCAGCCGCAGTGTAATGGTCTTTGTCTGTCTCATCCACTCCTTCGTATCCTGTCCTTCCAATTTCGTCCTTTACTGCAGGCAGTTTGCATAGCAGCGGATGGAATAAAAAGCGTTGCCTACTTATGGGCTGAGCAATTGCCGAGCATAAATTGGCAGGCTAACGGCGGGGCCATGGAAAAAATGAATAAAATTTGTCAACAAGGTGCTGACTAGGCCACTCCCTCACCAAAAAATTGAGTTTTTATTTTATTTCTACTCAAAATCCATTTACAAGATTAGAGAAGAGCCTAAAGAAATCCAAAATCCATAAAGTCAGACATATGTTTAAAAAGAATAGCGAAAAGGTTAAAAATATTCAAAGTTGGAAGCCATCATCAGAATAATTAAATTGATAATATATTCTCAAAGTGTTTAAAAGACATCCTTAACATCTATAAAAAATTTCTCTGCTTTAAATATTTCTTTAGCATTTGAATTCTATTTCCAGCTTAAATGATTTTTTAAGACCATTTATTGATTCAAATTTTCTTAAATGAATCTGTCTTCTATTAAATGTTTCTGTGGCTGGCAGACATGGCATAGTTCATTCTCCCCGGGAAAAACTGGCAGTAACATGGCAATCAGGAGCAACCAGACAAACTTCCCGCCACCCAAAGTCCACAGACCACCCACCCAATCATCGGGACTTCCCCGTCGCTCCCCAATCGGCGCAATTTGTATTATGCGCCTCAGCGCCTTTGCACTTAATGCCTTATTTGTATTTAATCGCGGCTTCCGTTTCAGTGGCATTCCACTCCTTCTTTCCCTTCCTACGAATCCAGTTTTATTCAATGGGAGTTTGAGCAGCAAACTTACAGATTCAGATACAGATACAGATACAGATAAACGGAGAATGACTCAATTTGCTGTTTTTTTGCCAGTTTCTCTGCCACTTTGCCCCCCCAATTACCCAATGCCGATGGCTGTGCTTGACATTCGTCAGTTGGACTCGCTTTTGGAAGGATTCTGCTACGCCATTCCTGATGGTGGGCCATGTTTGATTGCCCAATGAAGCCTGTCCGCCTTTGACTAGTTTTTGTGAAATAGTCTCCCCTACAGTATTTGCTAGCTTTAACTTCTCTTTAGCCGAATTTTCTGTGACATTTATACCAAACGAAGAGAAAACCTTTCAAGGTAATTCGCTTGATAATTTTATTTGTCAATTACCATTTCTTTAAACTGTTTAATAACAAGTCTCGACTTTATTTTGGAGAGTAAATTTAATTACTTGTTTTTTATTTACGTTTTTGCATATAAGAGAAATCTTATGAATTTAGCAGCTTAAAACCTACTTATCAAAAATTAAAGATTTTTTCCAATTTCAACAGAGCGGCTTTGGTTCAAATTAACTCTACAACTAAATTTGTCTCTCTGTGTTTCCTCTATGAAACATATAAAATTAACAAGTGCTTTAACCGCTCTTAAGTCAGTCAAAGAGGCCTCTTGGGGCATACGAATATGGTCATTCGTTACTCGCTACTGGCAATTATTATGTGCGATAATGTCTGGATGACGCGACGAATTTGAAAAAGTTTTTATTCCGGCCCCGGAAGGTCCTCATTTGTTTGGGCAGTTTAAAGTTTTCGCATTAGCCGTATGACATTTACATTTACCGTGCCTCATGGCACGGAAATAAAGGCGGCCGCAGGACACAAAGGAGCTGGGGGTCTGGCATCCGCCTTGCGGTATGCAATAAAAAGCAAATGTAACGCAAAATGTTATTACGCATACGCCATGTGTGCCGTGCCGCTGTGTCTCCGTCGTGCTGCCTTATTTGTCTTTGCCCTGCGCGCATTACTCGGTATCTACACGGTAAAAAAAATAATTTTGAAATTTATATAATCTGTAAACCATTAATTTAAACACGAATATTTTGAATATAATAGAACTTTAGGAAAAATGTTTAAATTTATACTTATTTAAGCCAAGATAAAAAAGGTCCACTATAAATTTAAATTTCATCCAAGATATATACATTTTATAGTTGCATTTTTTTACCCATTTATAAAACGAAGATTGGTAAAATATATCTTTCGGAAAACATCTTCTTCAGATATAGAAAAGAATTGTTTTCTCTGTACCTTCCCCTCAGAATTTTTTTGCACCCCCTTCCTTTGTGTCTGTCTGTGGCTTTGAGGTCGAGTAAAGAGCCGGAGCTTGTCCTGCCCTGAGCTCTTAAAATGCCATTGTTTGCAGCTGCGCTTGGCCTCACCCGACCCCCGATGACCTTCTCGACCAGTTCCAGGCGTTTAACTTTAACAGCAGAACTCACTCTTTTTTTTTTATTTTTGTTTGCGCACTTTTTATTTTTTTACTGCAGTTCGCCTCGATCCGGTTGCCGGCTTTATTATGGCTTTCTAATTTATGTGACTCAAAGTCAATTTTCCATTTGGGCCTCTTTATGAGCTGCCTTTGCCGCAGTGGGCGTGGCATTTAACCAATCTGTCGACATATGTTACTGAGGCCTTGATTGATGCGCTCCCGATGAGGCGGATGTGGCTGGGATTTCAATAAAGTTTTATGCCATTTCAACGACCCGAGGATGTGATGAGGACAGTACTGCCCGTCCGATGGAGGAAAACTTTCGAAACAATAAATCACCAATGACTGCGACGACAACCACGTATTCTCTTGTCTGCTGAACCTGAACTTCTGTCCTCAGCCTCTTAAAGCCGGCAGGAAAAGTGGGGGAAAATAAAAGAAACTGGAAAAGTATAAATAGAGTAGTTGGCTACGCAGACGACCAGCCGCATACCCTTGGGAATGGAAGTCTGAATCGTTTCTAAGGCTGTTGAAATGGACTCAAGGTCGGCATTGATGCACGAGGCATGATGGATTAGGTGGTGTCATCACTTTTACGCTTGGAAAGTCGGTAATATTTGTGTTATTATGAGGATTATTCTCATGCCTTCATTCATCATTCAATCAATTTGAAAAGATTACACGGTTAACTCAATTTAATTTGAAAAAAATGTCACCTGTGCTGACATGTGCTCGAAAAAATCCATAAAAAGATATATTAAATTTAAATAAATAAATCCCGTCCTTTTTGCAACAAACAAACAGAGGTTAATTGGAACTGCTAACTGGAAAATGAATTCGTTGTATCTCCGCCAATTTTAAGATGCCTGGCAGAAAACGACTGTCAGTTGAAAGCGAAGAAACTTGAGTTTAAAGTCGTTCCTCGAGATGAAATCCGCACTTGTTTCATCAATGTTAGCAACAATTGTAAGGTCTCCTTTACCTTTGTAGATTCCATCGGAGGTGTATAAGCCCGTTTTGGGATCCACGGGGGTCATGCTTATGACGTTCCACTTCCTAGTATCCAGTCCATCGTTTTGCATCTCGAGGATCTTGAACAAATTGGGCAGATAACAATGGTCCACCTTTGGCCACACAAAGAAGCACCTTACTGGACTGTTACTCAAGTGCCTGTGAACTTGGGACTGAAGATCCTCCGGATCATCCTCATCCATAGGCTCCACTTTTTCGGTGAGCATGGCGAACCTCGGCTTGTCCACGTTTCCTCTTATATGGAAATTCAAAATATATTTACAAATTGTTTGTTTTCGAAAGGAGTATGTCTTCTTGTAAAATTCAGAAGTGACTGTAAAACAAGTTGAAGCATGTATAACGCAAAATGAAATATGATCAGCATACTGAGTTTAGGTTACAAATTTTCTGAAATTTTCTTGAAAAGTTGCAGAAGATTTCTTGACACAGTTGATGGTATTTGATAAATTTACTATCCAAATTTATTATTATTTCTAAAAATAATAAAAAAGAAAGTTGTTGTTGCTGTTCCTCTTCGAAAATTTTATATTTCATTAGATTTAAACATTTTTTTTATACCCATTAATACAATATAAGTTCCCTACTTTAATTTATTATTTCGTTCTATTACCTAATGTTAATCGACTAACCTTTCTGTTATAGGGCATTGCTTATACTCATCGCGAATTTAATAATTTCCTTTTTTCAATCCCTTTCTATTTGCACCGGCCATGTGAGAAGACATTTCGGATTTGCTGGGAGCTTATGGTCGCTCATGGTGCAAAGTGGTATGCTGAGGGTCCCGAATTGAGACACTCAAACACTCAGACATCTAGACACACACACACCCAAAGTCTCAGCCCAGGACCTACGCACATACACACACACACTCACGCTCTCGGATACTTGGAATTAACACCATAAATTTTGCAGCCTAAACTATGCCTGGCATGCTGCCTTTTGCCATTGACTTTGAGGGAGAAATGGGAGGAAGGCAACCAAGTTGTTTTTCGCTTTTTGTTTCTTGTTTCTGTCGCCCTTGGTTCTGGTTGTTTGTTCTGCTGCGTGATGCCCTGCATTGTTGTCCCCCTTGGAAAATGGCGAGGGAAATCCGAGGAAAAGTGCCTCGGCTCGGAGCAGTTGAAAGTGGTTTCGGCCGCCCGACCGCATTTATATAGCGCAAAGTTGCACCCGCAGCAGATTTCAAGTTTTTATCTGAGCCTGACAATGATGCTGAACCGACTTTAGTTACACAGTTGAAGCCACAGACATTTTAGCCAAGTGGCTTAGTTGTTTGAGGTCGAGACTGAGCTGCTTTTAATTTATATGGCCAAAAAGGTTGACACGCAAACAACAAAATCGAGCCGACCGAGAAGAGTTCCTGGCTTACAGCATAAAGAGGAGCCATAAATTTTCGTACTTAATCAGCGGGCGGTGGCTCTTGATGTGGATTGGAGGTCGCCTTTGAGTGGCTACAGCGTATACGTAATGCGGGCAATGGGGCGTATGAACGTATTTTTTTCGCTCACGGCAAGAGATTTGTCTTGGACCCACAGGTAATCAAGAGGTGGCTAAAAATGGGCTATATGGGCAACATATAGAATAGACATCGAAAATAAATAGGAAAATCTTTGAAAGTTCCAGAACTTGCTAAGAAATTAGAAAACTTTTACATAAACTATCCATAATTTTACTTTTAAAAATGCCATTCTAATGAACAATAGTTTTCATGTTGTCTTAAGACTTAAACATAAGTATTTTAAACTACTTATATGTTTAAGCAGTTCTAGTGCATCCTTAAATAAAACTGAGTGAAATTTCGAACAACTTTTTCATGTTTTTAAGTCATTACTTAAATTAAAAGCTTTCACGATTGAAATTAGTCTCTGTAAAGAAAAATGTTGCAATAAGGACAACTGGAGAACAATTAACTGTCCGAGCTTCTTCCCATAATGCAAACAAATTTCAATGTCGCCCAAGGAGCGGACAAAAGGGCGTTATCCACATTGCAGGCAACCCAAACCAAGCCACAACATATTATTTTTCATCGTGCTGCTGCGGACATAATCCCCGAGTTGGTAGCAAATGGAAAACAGAAGCTCCCAGCACAATGGCCCTTAGAATCCGCTGCCATCCGGCGGATGATGCGTCCGTATCTTGGCCATTAATGCTGATTATTCGCTAATGTCAGAGGGCTCGGGCTTAAACAGCAGTCTATTTGGTTTGGTCGGTTGCAGCCACAATGCAATTTAGCTGCTTTAAGAGGAAACAAGTTTACAATTCGCAAATCGCTGGGGCAGGTGGCTGCGCCGCCTTCCCTGGGGATAATTATAATGCCATTAGCATGTTCAGTTCACAATCAGATTTGGTCGGGTTCTCGCCCCCCGAGGAGTCCGCTCAAATTGGCTGCGGTCGCGGTAATCCTGTCGAGCTCTCGTCCTCGTCTCTCTCGCGCTTTTCATGCAAATCCTAATAGAAAGTTAAATGTTTATTTACGCAGCCAAGGCAGTCGAGTGGCTGGGCGTGGCCATGTGGCCCCCCCAAACTATTTGGTCGCATTTTGCATATTGCAAATAGCCAAAGGACACCCTCGGTTAGCGTTTACCCACGCTTGGCCCCGTTTCGTTCTATTCCGTTCCGCTGTCCTTTTGGGCAAAGCAATTTCAACTTTCCATTCGGAGGACAGCCCGTTTCTGTTTTCCGGATTTATCCCCACATGAATTCCTAAAGCGGATTTCATTTCTGAACGCAGGATCTTTAAATGCTGCTCTAATTTAAGCGGCATTCAGCAGAATACTTGTGTCATGGTGGGTGGCTCGTTCGAGTTCTCTAGAACAGATGACTCATGTGACATGTGAGCTGTAAATTTACAGAAGTTCAGCTGAATTTTGTATTACAAGCTCTCCAGAATTTTGTTAAAGTAGTTATGCATTTATTAGCTATATGTCAAATCTAAGAACTTGCTAAGAGCAGCGGACAAGCATACTTTACCGCTTTAACAGCGTTCTTCTTTTAAGTTATGAATATTTAATATTTAATTTATGAATGATACAGATTTGGTAAATATAAATGATTTTTCTTGAATTTATATCTTTCAAATCTACTAATTTGTTAGGCACCTGCGAATTGGGAACATTTTGTTGTCATTTAATTTTACCTCTTTTCAACTAAACAAAGTTTATTAATTAATTGTCAAAAACAGGTTCTTATTTTCTTATACGGTTTTACCCTGAAAATGTTTATTTGCTTGAAATTGAGTTTGCCAAAACAATTCCTCACTTCAGCTGCTTCCATTTACGTTTCCATTTATTTTGGCCTGCACTTCTGGGGCCAAATGCAGTGGCTGCCGGCCGAGTTATGCGGCATTTCTAGCCGGTTTCCAATTGTTCGACTTCCTTTCGGATTTTGGCTTTCCAGCACGCGCCGGGGCGTTTCCTTTTGGCCATTTTGCCATTCTGCCGCTTGGCAGTGACACAAATCGCTGAATATACCTTCTAAGGAGTGCGACCTTTGTCTGAACTTCAAGGATTCCCATTTACTGGAGCTGGGGCCAAGAATAAATGTTGGCAGACAGGAAGGAGAGCGGCAACTTATTTTCGTTTGCCAACGCATTGAAGTCTTCCACTCGATTTGCAGTCCAAGTTGGTCGTTGCCAAAAACCGGGCCCGGTTAACTGAAACTGGCAGAAAGTTCCACCGCCCTCTAAGCTGTTTACCCTAACGCATCACTAAGCGCGCTGCACAAAAATAAATGTTCACAAACTTGCAGGTGAACTTCGTTGGCGTCCTTCGCCCTCGCTATCCCCGTTTAAAATTAGCAGTCGACAAACTGTTGATTCTGCTGGGAAAAATATGATGGGAAAGGCGGGGGCCGGGGAGCTTATATATCGAGCGACCCTATCATGTCAGCCTTTCACACAAAAGCCTAACCAGATCCCGGGGCCATGGACTCATTCAACTTTACGCTAATGTCACATGCTTTGATTACTGCGCCGTGAAATTTTATTGATTGGCCAGGCAGCGTCACATGAGCGATGGAAACCAGTCGGGTCTTGAGTCGACAAACCCATCCACCTCCTCAATAATATTAACATCCCATATCTATAGCCACAGCCACAGCCACATACAAGGCACCTGGCAAAGCATCAGATTGAATGCACTCGCTGAGGCGAGCATTTCGAAGATGCTTCGAAAGTGCAGCTGGTAAGTGGGGATCTCAAAGGGTCCCATTCCCTTTACTTATTGCTTCAATGGTTGTTTAATTTACAAAGAAAAATGGGTTTTATTTTAGGGAAATTTAAAGCTAAGCAGCGGGTTCAATGAAATAAAATGGTTTCATAAATATAAATTTCAAGCTTATTTATTTACCATTTGTATATTTTTTTTTAATAATCTTTTGTTATTTTTTTAATTTCAGTTGCTTGCGAGGTATTATTAAAAGGGAAAAAAACGTTTCAATAACTTTTGTAAATTCCAAATAAAATACATTTAAAAATACATTAAAAATTTATAAACTAAACTTAACTAAACAAATATATATTGGAGGACATTTCTATTCGCATGAATTGGTACAATCGAATCCACAAAGGTTATATGCCCAGCGCCTTATTTTTATGCCGTAAGTCCAAGCGTTCAATTTCACTTACGATGTCCTTCACACCGGTTGGTTGTTTAAACACTTATGGTCAGCAGAACAGCAGTAAACAATTACTTATCATCAAAAAATATGTATTGATATAAAGCAAAACAAGTTTTTTTTATAATAATTTTAATTTAAAGATTTGTTATCGTTGTGAAAATGTAATGTAGAGGCAACTTAATTTAATCGGTTAACTTATTTAAAGATTGAATTTGAATACCAAACAAATTCGGTTTTGAATCTTAATCTTCTTTTATAAATTTAATTTAATTGTGATATTGCTGTGACCGCATCTGTAGGAAGTACAATATGTTTGTTTGTAGATTCTGTAAGAGCATATTAAGCATGACCTGGGGGTCCGTTCCTGTCGTGAGTTGTAGGTGTAATGTGCAAGAGTGAAAGCAGGACTCCGATAAGTGTCCTGTATGGGAGGAAGTGTTCATCTTCAGCCCCGCTGACAGCTGGAGATTTCTCCTTTTTCCCTCCCTGCGCTGATTGCTTACAATGTGCTGGGTTGAAATCACGCCCACCTCCAGCCGCCCACCGCCCATCACCCCCTTTTCGTTTTTTACAAAAAAAAAATGCGAAAAT